AAAAAAAAAAAAAAAAAAAAAAAAAAAAAAAAAAAAAAAAAAAAAAAAAAAAAAAAACTATATAAACATTAATTGTGCCTTGAACAGCTCAGGGTGGAAAATTCGTACATCGAAATAATCAAGCGAGATTAAAGAACTTTTTTTGCAAAATACACATATTTTTATCCAACTGTGACGGTACGGATTGTTACAAGATTCTCTCGGTACTGTTCACAGCCGAGACGACTAGCGAATTTTCCACCATGAATCTCGAACCCCGAGCCCAAAAAAAAAAAAAAAAAAAAAAACATCCCCTTGACATGTACGTATATCCTGTGTCAGCAGGCGCCCTGAGCGGCGGTATGGCAGCGAGTCACGGAGTGCAGCCACCGGCGAGCCCCCCGGGGAACCACGACCCGCGCACCTCGAGCATCCAAGCCCTGAGGATGAAGGCCCGGGAGCACGTCGAGAGCATGAGCAAGGACCTCCAGCACATCGTGCGCGCCAGCAGCCCCAGCAGAACGGCGGCCGTCGGGCCGCGCGACGACGCTTTCGTGCCCGTGTCGTGAGCTTGTGTGCCGCCATGGTGAAGTGACTACGGCTCGTCGTGGGGCTACGCGCGTTGTCGATGATCGAATTGTGGGTGTGTGGGTGATTGCATCGGGTCGTTCGTTTCTGTACGATTGAAGAGGTATATACCTGGACAGAGAGTTTTTTTGCCACCCGAATGCGTGTGTGTATGAATTTTCGTGAGCAAATGTTTATTGATGTTGGCAAACGTGACCATAAGATTGTTCGAGCTCTCGTTCGTGTGAGTCGTGTTGCAAACACGAAAGGTTAAATGTTGATTGATCCCACGTGTGGCAGAGACACGTCTATTGGATTTTTATTTGTTACAAACATTTTACGTACGCAAAAGGTCATGTTTTTTTTCGATTTTGAAATCTTTTTTACAACTTTTGCGAATCGACGTATACGGAATTCAATTTTGTGATTGTAATTGTGTACATTTTGTAGGATAACTTTGTACAAGACAAACGCGGTTGGAATTAAATGGCTAAAATTTAGATTAATATAGCTCTTTCCATCCCAGCGAAGAGGAGAAATGTATAAGGATCATCGTTAGACCAATGGAGTGGTTATAAGATAGTGAGGTGCAATATAATTTACAAAATGCTATATAAGCCGTTCCAGCGAGTTTAGAGTGAAGGAAACACATAATTACCATGCGTTAGATGAAAAATACAATTTTTAAGTTTTTTTTTATTTTTTATTTTAAATTAACAGTGTGAACGAAAACATTTTTAAGTAAAGAAGAAGAAAAATAGATCTCGTGATGATCATGCGATTGATACGAATGTGAAACGAGTGAGTGTTTTAGACAATCACCGGTAACTCGTGTAAATATGCGTGACGTATGTATAACGAGTGATAAAACAAAAAAATAAATAAACGGATATAGATACAACCATGCATATGTATACTATCTAGTGATGTACCTTCAAAGTAAAGGTACGTGTAGTAATATAAAAAAAAAACAAAGAAGCGAATAGGACAATTGGATCGATTTTTAATCCCAATAAATATGAAACGAACCGATGTAACAAAATATTAAGTACTTAAGGAAAAGAAAAAAAAAAAAAAAGTTTATGCTCATCGAAGGTACCGACGAGCTCGTGAATGTAATTAAACCTGACTGTACACGGAAACTAAATTACGTATACAACGGGTCAACCGAGAAAAGTGTAATTTGTTAGCCTAATTTACCGTAGCATACATATATATATATAATATGTATAGTGTAAAGTGTCACTCGATCGACGATATGGTTATATACAGTATTAATAAGTTATAAGGCTATACGAATGCGCTCGCGTAACCGGCAACCCTTGCATTTAAACTGATCCTGTGAACACTTTGGGTTATTCGAAGAAATAATTTTTTTGTCCTCTTCTATTTTGTCCACGTGTAGGTATCGAGATTTTCATCGGGAAAACTTCAGTGTAAAACTTCGATGTGAAATCGAATACGTAAATACCGCGCCTCCATGTTCAGGAATAAGAATGCAACCATAGATATAAGCATGAGGAAAAAAAAAGAGAAAATGTTAGCAACACACACTGACACACTAGGCATTCATTTGTAAATAGCATTTCGTGATGAAATAAATTTGATGTACATATTTAAAAACTTGGTCGAAAAGTAATTTCCCACGTCACACACTACCCCTCCCTCCGATCCTCGCTCGATCGTGCAAATGCCCAAGGCAACTTGGACGTGTCGCTCAAATGGAAAACGCTTCCTCGGACAACGTGCAGCGTTAATCCTTCGCCAAAGACGCCTCGAAGCCGTCAATTAAAGCTCCGTCGTCGAGCTAATTAACTAATGCAACGATAAGATTGCTGGTGCGGTAAAAAAAAAAAGCACCATCCTCGTGTTGCCTCGCCCGAGAGCCAACAGGTAAAAAGCTCCGCCCAAACTGGCTTCAACTTGTTATCGCCGCTCTCTTATTTTCTCCCCTTTTCGATCGACCGATCCACCGAGCAAAGTTTCGACCCGGATTTCGAATTCTTTCGCGGACAGTGTGTTACCAGCCGTACGAGGGGTGCATATATATAGGCAGGAGGAGCGGTGTTTGTCGACGTATTAGCATTTCAAAGAAGAGCCTCAATTAAGCTTTAATTAATTTCGTGAAGCGCGGAAAGGACTCGACTCCCGGGGGGAGGAGGGGGTGGCGTCGATTATTCGGTTTTCTTTCCGACTTAATTAAAAGACCGGAGCTCGGAGTCAAAATAACCGAAGAATATTAGCTCTTTTGACGCTAGCAGTGCCCCCCTATTAACATTCTCATGTAACATTGAAAAAAAAAAAAAAAAAAAAAAAACTATATAAACATTAATTGTGCCTTGAACAGCTCAGGGTGGAAAATTCGTACATCGAAATAATCAAGCGAGATTAAAGAACTTTTTTTGCAAAATACACATATTTTTATCCAACTGTGACGGTACGGATTGTTACAAGATTCTCTCGGTACTGTTCACAGCCGAGACGACTAGCGAATTTTCCACCATGAATCTCGAACCCCGAGCCCAAAAAAAAAAAAAAAAAAAAAAAACATCCCCTTGACATGTACGTATATCCTGTGTCAGCAGGCGCCCTGAGCGGCGGTATGGCAGCGAGTCACGGAGTGCAGCCACCGGCGAGCCCCCCGGGGAACCACGACCCGCGCACCTCGAGCATCCAAGCCCTGAGGATGAAGGCCCGGGAGCACGTCGAGAGCATGAGCAAGGACCTCCAGCACATCGTGCGCGCCAGCAGCCCCAGCAGAACGGCGGCCGTCGGGCCGCGCGACGACGCTTTCGTGCCCGTGTCGTGAGCTTGTGTGCCGCCATGGTGAAGTGACTACGGCTCGTCGTGGGGCTACGCGCGTTGTCGATGATCGAATTGTGGGTGTGTGGGTGATTGCATCGGGTCGTTCGTTTCTGTACGATTGAAGAGGTATATACCTGGACAGAGAGTTTTTTTGCCACCCGAATGCGTGTGTGTATGAATTTTCGTGAGCAAATGTTTATTGATGTTGGCAAACGTGACCATAAGATTGTTCGAGCTCTCGTTCGTGTGAGTCGTGTTGCAAACACGAAAGGTTAAATGTTGATTGATCCCACGTGTGGCAGAGACACGTCTATTGGATTTTTATTTGTTACAAACATTTTACGTACGCAAAAGGTCATGTTTTTTTTCGATTTTGAAATCTTTTTTACAACTTTTGCGAATCGACGTATACGGAATTCAATTTTGTGATTGTAATTGTGTACATTTTGTAGGATAACTTTGTACAAGACAAACGCGGTTGGAATTAAATGGCTAAAATTTAGATTAATATAGCTCTTTCCATCCCAGCGAAGAGGAGAAATGTATAAGGATCATCGTTAGACCAATGGAGTGGTTATAAGATAGTGAGGTGCAATATAATTTACAAAATGCTATATAAGCCGTTCCAGCGAGTTTAGAGTGAAGGAAACACATAATTACCATGCGTTAGATGAAAAATACAATTTTTAAGTTTTTTTTTATTTTTTATTTTAAATTAACAGTGTGAACGAAAACATTTTTAAGTAAAGAAGAAGAAAAATAGATCTCGTGATGATCATGCGATTGATACGAATGTGAAACGAGTGAGTGTTTTAGACAATCACCGGTAACTCGTGTAAATATGCGTGACGTATGTATAACGAGTGATAAAACAAAAAAATAAATAAACGGATATAGATACAACCATGCATATGTATACTATCTAGTGATGTACCTTCAAAGTAAAGGTACGTGTAGTAATATAAAAAAAAAACAAAGAAGCGAATAGGACAATTGGATCGATTTTTAATCCCAATAAATATGAAACGAACCGATGTAACAAAATATTAAGTACTTAAGGAAAAGAAAAAAAAAAAAAAAAGTTTATGCTCATCGAAGGTACCGACGAGCTCGTGAATGTAATTAAACCTGACTGTACACGGAAACTAAATTACGTATACAACGGGTCAACCGAGAAAAGTGTAATTTGTTAGCCTAATTTACCGTAGCATACATATATATATATAATATGTATAGTGTAAAGTGTCACTCGATCGACGATATGGTTATATACAGTATTAATAAGTTATAAGGCTATACGAATGCGCTCGCGTAACCGGCAACCCTTGCATTTAAACTGATCCTGTGAACACTTTGGGTTATTCGAAGAAATAATTTTTTTGTCCTCTTCTATTTTGTCCACGTGTAGGTATCGAGATTTTCATCGGGAAAACTTCAGTGTAAAACTTCGATGTGAAATCGAATACGTAAATACCGCGCCTCCATGTTCAGGAATAAGAATGCAACCATAGATATAAGCATGAGGAAAAAAAAAGAGAAAATGTTAGCAACACACACTGACACACTAGGCATTCATTTGTAAATAGCATTTCGTGATGAAATAAATTTGATGTACATATTTAAAAACTTGGTCGAAAAGTAATTTCCCACGTCACACACTACCCCTCCCTCCGATCCTCGCTCGATCGTGCAAATGCCCAAGGCAACTTGGACGTGTCGCTCAAATGGAAAACGCTTCCTCGGACAACGTGCAGCGTTAATCCTTCGCCAAAGACGCCTCGAAGCCGTCAATTAAAGCTCCGTCGTCGAGCTAATTAACTAATGCAACGATAAGATTGCTGGTGCGGTAAAAAAAAAAAGCACCATCCTCGTGTTGCCTCGCCCGAGAGCCAACAGGTAAAAAGCTCCGCCCAAACTGGCTTCAACTTGTTATCGCCGCTCTCTTATTTTCTCCCCTTTTCGATCGACCGATCCACCGAGCAAAGTTTCGACCCGGATTTCGAATTCTTTCGCGGACAGTGTGTTACCAGCCGTACGAGGGGTGCATATATATAGGCAGGAGGAGCGGTGTTTGTCGACGTATTAGCATTTCAAAGAAGAGCCTCAATTAAGCTTTAATTAATTTCGTGAAGCGCGGAAAGGACTCGACTCCCGGGGGGAGGAGGGGGTGGCGTCGATTATTCGGTTTTCTTTCCGACTTAATTAAAAGACCGGAGCTCGGAGTCAAAATAACCGAAGAATATTAGCTCTTTTGACGCTAGCAGTGCCCCCCCCCCCCCCGAGGGGGTGAAAAAAAAAAGGTACACTCGGCGAATCTCGAGAATTAACTTCCGCTTTTTAAATTCCTTCTCTGCTTGGTCCTCCATCGTGCGCGAGTCTCTTTTTGCTCCTCCCCTGCCTTACTTACTTTCTTTCTTTTATTAAAAAAAAAAAAAAGGACGAGAAAGTTTCCCTTCTGAAACTTGATTGGGAGACGCTTGGAAAAGGGAGTTAATGACTTTTGTGCCGCCGAGCTCGAGAACGTTATTGCGATTAACTTTAAGGGGAGCTCAAATTGAAGCCTCGTAGTTTTAAATGAAAATGGAATTACGTCAATTAAATTGAGTGCCGGGCGATACGCAAAATTACGGTTTTAATCACCCGTGCACAAACATAGGTAATTTTCGCACTACGTTCATTAACAACGTTCTCGTTTAAATTATCTTGAAAATTTCTTTTATGATCGGCACGCTTCAACTTTCGTCGATGTAATTGCATGCGTTGCAAGGATTACCAACGACCAGCCGATCACTTGCAAGATCGGCAGGTGTAAGGCGCGTAAAAGTGGGCTCTCGCAACGCAATGGGCAACAAAAGTAAAAAGAAAAAAAAAGAAAATAAAAGAAAAAAAAGTTACAGCAGAGGTGAAACCAAGTGACTCGGGAGGCCGTCAGAAAACAAAGAGACGGAAGATGCACCCCCGGCGTGGCACGCTCCGGCCACGATTACGTATTCCAATCGTCGCGCTCTCTCGTTCTCGCCCTATCCGGCCATCGAGAAGTCGGTGGCTATACACCGAGGGAGGAAATCGACCGGGCTTGGGGGAGAGGGGCCACCTCCAACTCGGCCAATAAAATGGTAATTCTTGTTTGGCCAAGCTAACCATGCGAGCCCGCGCCCGGGAAACTACTCCATCCCCACACGCGGCGGAGGCTAACCCCCTCTAACTTCCAAGATCAATATACCTACCGGAGCAGTCTCCTCCCGATGATGCTCGGATGGCCCCAGTAAATGGCACGCGTGGAACTTGAATGGGGCTCGGCGAGCTTGTGTTTGAGGAGAGAGGCTGGCAGGGGCCGGGGGGCTATTTTCGAAGGGCATGCATGATGCGTGGGAGTGAGCGTGAGCGGACGCGTGGCAAGTCTGCCATTGTTGCCAAGAGAGGAGGAGGGGGATGGGGTAATTGACTCGATCGGAGTGCGTTCGGTGGTGGCGAAGTTCGAGGGAGGGCTGGTGGGGTTATATACGCTTGGAGTTTGATGAAGTTTCTTTTCTTTTTCTTTTTTTTTTTTTTTTTTTTTTTTTTGTTTGGTCGACTCTCGAAGGAGAGTAGGCAGGTACTTTTCACCGCTAGTCTTTGAGTGCGCTAAATGGGGTCTCTTGTACGCTTTTATGGTTTGACGGGGGATTGTTCGGCTGATAAGATCCATTGAGAATTCAGTGTTGCGTGTTGGCGTGTCAAAGTGGATTCGCGAAAAATCTCTGTCGAACTGTATTTACCCCGACGTGGAAATAAAACAGGTAGCTTGGCTATTATGTACTCATTTTGTCGTAATAACCAAATAAACTCTACTTTATTGAAATTGAGGACACCGAGAGCGAGCAGTGATTCTAACAAGTAATCCTACTGTTGGGTAGTTTGTTTGCAAACTTCACGGCAACGTTAGTACCCGGGGAACAAAATTTAATTTTCAGTAGTTACCAATAAAACCATTTTAATTTCTTACTCTCCTTCATAGGTACTAATTTCCATTATTTTCAAGAATCAGCTAGAAAATCGAAACGAAATAAATTCTTCATCCTTTGTGTGACTATTGAACCGTTTTCAATCATATTTCGTAGACAATCCAACTAATTTTTTTTGTTTTTTGTAATATTCAGCCAACCTTTATTATAGATTATATTTTAACATCAAAACAATCACAATCGCAATTGTCAGGGTCAGTACCCTGCATAGGATAAGCAGATCGAAAAGTTTGCTAGGTATGATTAACAGGGCAATCAATGAGCCCTCCCGCGCAAAATTAATTTCCATATCCTGGACGAATTAATATCCAATGAAACATCGTACATACATGTATAATACACAGACGCACACGTCGATCGAATCACGTGGGCCAAACACTCGCCACCCGGTTACCCACTCCCCAACCGTCCCTATCGTCCCCACCCACATCCACACTCGCACGGCAGACACATTAACATACACTCGCGAGCAGCCGAGCCTCGGCAAAGCTGTACTACTCGTGTGTCTCTCGTTTATTGGCCAAGGGTCGATTAAACGCGCGACGCCGAAATTGAAAGGCTGCACGCGCGCGCGCACGCATCACTTATCTCGTGCGTCCTTTCGAGCTCCTTTTCCTCCTCGAGTCCCCGTCCCCGTCGTTGTCGTCATGGATCGAGGGACGAGGAAATCTTGGATTTATTAAATTTGTTTAGGGCAAAGCTGGAAGGAGAACTCGCCGAGCTCATAGCTCGCGGGGGGAGTTGTCGGGACTCGCTGGTTCGCCGGAGAAAAAGCACGAGCGCGCCGACTGACGGAGGAGCGGTGGCGTATGGATTTTTCTGTACCCGAGGCTGGTAAACCGTAGGCTTCAAGGATTTTTTTTTTTTTTTTTTTTTTTACGGTTTTTTCAAGCACGTGTGTGAATGAAGAGTTGAGGTAATGAGGCTTTTCTTACGAAAAAGGATACATGGGTAACGGTTGAGGCAGTCAAGCTTGATGATTGTCAGGTCGCAACG